TTTTCTTTTAAAGGAAAAGACTGGTTTCTTTAGAATTTGGCCGGAACATAATTGTGACGGAGTCTTTTCTCTGCCAAAAAGATTGATAATGTCAAAAAGGATTGTGTAAAATCATACTAGTGCAAAAAAAATGAAGCTTTCCAGAATTCCTGTAGCCAGAAAGACCTGGAATGAACTTATATCCTCTCTCTTTTTCCTCCCCTCTCTGTAAACCACCCCCTACCTCCAACCCTCCAATAGATTTTATTACTTCATGGGAGTAATTTGGAGTTATAATTGTTATTCTTTTCCAAATTAAAGGGGGAGGGAAAATGAAAGAAAAATTCTTTAGAAAGATACTCCTGAAAGACAGTATCACATCTACATGAACTTCTTATAAGTTTGGAATTATTCTGGAAGATAACATGAACTTTTTACATTTCTACTCCTTTCAAGTAGGCATAAAACAGTGTTGTGAAAACAATGACTACATTCTAGAAAAAACAATCCCAATGATACTAAAGATACAGGAGGAACATGAGGAAACAAGAAGGGAGGGTGGCCCCTTGCTTCTACTTTTGTCTAATTTAAAGTCAATTAAAATTCTATGCATTCTAAAATGAGACAAACAAGATTTATCAGTTTCATGATATCATGTTACCCCCCTGAAGCGAAAGAAATATTTGGAGTTGTACCTGAAAATTTTACTGCTGGAAGATTTTTAGAAAACCAGTTTTGTATGTTTCAGCCTTTCAAAGAAAAACAGAACTTGGGAGTTTTCAAGGCTGCTTTAAAACTGGCAAGTTACCAACTCTGGCTATCAATGCAAATCTGAGGCAGGAAGTACTAAGGAAATTCTAAACTATTCCCTCCCTCTGCAAGATTTTCAACATTTTTACGTGTAATAAGTGTGTTAAGGGGTTGTTTTGTTTTGCTTTTTAAGGACCTGAGCATTCATATCTTTACGAATATTCTTTGCCCAGTAGGAGCGTCTCTGTTTCCTCGCCTGTTGCCTGGGTCCTTGGATTTTCAAGTGTTTGCTCTCTCTGTGGCACAATCAGCTGGGCTCCAGTGAGACTTGGAGAGTCAGGCGGCCGTCCAGGCTGCAGACAGTTGGCAATACAGCCTGAAATCAGTGTGCAGTTGGTGAACTGCCCCTTACACTTGACCCCAACTTCACATCAGACTCTGCACACAACTGAAAACGACCAGCCAGAGAAACCCTGTGAGGGTCCCCAAATCTGGATCCCTTCTTTTCATGATCTTTTGGGAAAGCTGATGAGCAAAGGGAATGAAGTAAACTGATGGAAGGACAAATGATAGAAACTGAGTGCTGGGCTGATGGACAGAACACAGAGAAGTGGTCAGGGATAGAAAGGAAGACAGGACAAGCTCACTATATGCTCTTAGGCTGCTTTTAAAGTTTTATGAAGACGACTAAACTTTTCCAAATATCACACATGAGAGAATATCTGTTTCTCAACTGCAAAAGATCAATTCACCAGGCTAGGGCCATGTTTTACTCATTTTCATTTCTTAGTCCAACTAATTTGTTTTTCCAAGAAAATCCACCAAAGAAGTGCCACTGCAGATCGCATTTACCCTGGGGTCTCCTGAAGCAATTTCAACAGGTCGGGTGCTTTGAATGGGATGAACATAATTCTTGAGAAACACTAGATCACAACTCAATCAAACATCATTATGTATGCTAGCATTTAAGCTAATTAACTATTTCTGACCGACCCCCTTTCTGCAAATCCACTAACTGTTTTGAGTAACCTTCCAAAAATTTCAATACTATCTTCTATTTAATTGTGATGATATGTCACTACAATCCCTGTATTACTTCTCAACCAGATGCAATGTTCCTTTTTTTAAAATGGCTTCTTTTGGAAAAAATATTGGTCAGAAATTGACAAATGATAACTTTAAGTGTGTGGTCTAAGAGAGTGTGGACACTATAACACCACTGCTGTAAAGTATAATTACAAGTCAGCCACTAGATATCCATGCGTCTCACTTACATGGGTATTTTTCTAATATAACACATTTTAAGAGTTTGGAGACATGATTGAAAAGAGCAAAATATCTTTTTTCCAATTTTTTTTTTCTTTTTCAAGCCACAAAGCTAAATGATTGGTTTTAATATCATGAGAAGAACAGCAGAGAAGTCAGGAAAGTGTCGTAAGTTGTTCTAAAACTTTACTATGTACTGAGGGAATGGAAAACATTTTCATTTACTTCCAAATTCCATTTTGATTTTGTTTTATCTTAAGAAAATAACTACTCTACAGATTTTACATATTTAAGTTGAAAGAGAAATTATTTTTGCATTTTCTGAATGTATGGGACAGCAGACATTTTAGCTCTCTAAGATTCCATGAAGACTTTCTACCCAAAACAAATGTCAGCAAATAGCTTTTATGGAATGGTTAAAAAGCACCTGAATTTAGAAAACAGCATAAAATAATAGCACTGAATATGTCTTGCTGCAAACCACAGCATTTTATTTTATGGACTATAAGTGTTCTTTATATATTAGTATCAACTTCAATAATTACAGCATTTATTGGTGTAAACGTTTATTTAAATTGAGTTTTAATCACAAGTCAAGCCTAAAAAGACAGTGGGTTTTATGAATTACACCTAGATCTACCAAAGAAATATGAGCTCTGTGTATTTCCATCAAAATTATCATAGCTCCTATTTTGAAATATAATTATAAAAATGATGCTGAAATAACCCAGTAGATTTCATGTTTGTACTGAGGCATGAATGTTCATTATTCTGCAGTATTAACGCTGCCAGAAAGTTCATCACTTTATAAAATATAATTGTACATTGACCCTTTCTCCCTTTTCCTGTACACCCAAGTTCCAAAACAGGGCACGTTTTTATATCCTCCACTTCCAGGAATGTTATTAATGCTCTGTCATTTTAGAGCTGCTATAACAATATTCAACAACTTCACAGCACTGCCGAAATTTTACAACATAATAATCAATATGAGCTACCAGGATAGCCAAAGTAACTGATCTTAAATTCCCTGCCACCCTGATCTGATTACCCAAATATCAGCTTAGGTTGCCTAATGGATATAAATTCTAAAAATGTTCCAGAAGTTGATGGCTTTGACTAGCTTGAAAGTAACCAGATCCAGATGCTGTCTGTCTATACAGCACTAAACTACTACATAGGATCCCTAACAGGTTTATTTATTTATTTTTAATATTCCCTCTATATTTGATGGGCTTTGCTCTTTCCTCTCACTCTTCCGCCTTCCCTCTTACCCCAAATACACCACATCCTTACACACACACACACACACACATTTTTCAACAGGGTTGCTCACCCAAATCCTACGTCTTTAAACTAATGTAGAGGACATTTTTGTCCCTGACAACAGTTAAAAAAAAATCTCAAACAGAAAAGCAAAAGCTATATTTTGACCTAAAGTTTCTTTTCTGAATATACTTATGGGAGAAAAAAGAACGTGAATTTTGAAACATTTGGAAAAATTTAGACAAATGAGTAAAGGGGATGGAATGTCTGATATTTTTTCATGCAACCCTTAAGTTTGTTATTTTTGTTTCCTGGTGGGGGGAGTGAGTAATGACTATAAATTTTCCCTTTTAACTTGTCCTTGCTTTGCCATTTCCTTCAGGAAGGCAGGTGACATTCTCTATCCAATCCCCCAAAGAGTTAAAACTCAAGGCACTGGAGCAGGAGGGCTGGTCTATTTAAGCAGCAGCAGCAGCACAAACTAAATGCTCACAAAGGCAAAAAGCAATGTGAGTCGACCTTGGAGGGGCAGGGCAAATTTTAGAGCTCTAGAAGAAGAAAGGGGAAAAAAACAACGATCTTTACTATCACATGAAAAGTCTGCTGTCTTGTCTGGTTTACTAATAGGCATTGTTTGATGAGACAGAATAAATGAGAGATAACTACAGCATGAATTACCAAACCCTAATCACATCAACGACTCCTGGTGACAGCACAGATCACTCAGGCACGCCTTGTTCACTCTCAGCATATTTATTTATTAGAAGACACTGGAGTCTGGCTAATGCAATACAAAATAATAGCATCCATAAAGAAATAGAATCCATGCATTCAAGGTGGTAACTCTATCAATAGCTCCCCCCCATCAAGTCCAATTTAATTGACAAATTGGAGCTGTGATTTCACACCTGAGAGTCTTTCATGGCTGCACTACAGGATAAAGTTCACGGCAGGAACTGCCCACTGTTCAGGTCTGCGGGTTTGCCACTGGCCCCTAATGATCATCAGGACACACACAGAAAACCTAAAGTATTTAACCAATTCGCACCCATTAGCTACAATCAGCCCTTCTTAAGACCCAGGCCTCCGGAGGGCGATGAGTCCAGCAAAATCGAGCTTCTAAAAGTAAGGACATCTATTTTGAAAGCAAAGCTCAAAAATCCAATAGCTAGTCCCCGACACATCCTAGTGCTAAAGTAAAATCTGTAAGGCAAACAAAAAAAAATAAAAGCACAGCCAAACAAACTCCAAGAGACTTTAGTTAGCTCTCCTGTGCCTCTCACACTCAGCGATTAAAAGTTTGAGTCGGCCCCACCCTGCCATGTCCTATCCAGTGGGGAAAACCCTTTCAGAGCCACAAACAAAGAGCAGCTCACCAGAAAAGCCCCTGAAATTGTATTCTTGTGCCCGATAATCACTGTTGTGATCTCCTCTCTAACAACCCTGGCCATCTGCAGAGGGCTTTACGGCTATCAGGAACGTTTATACTGCCAAATAACAACAAAGGAACTCCAGTGAAACTATTATCTCTCCTTCCAGAGAAAGCCTCCGTTCTGAGGCAGCACACTTCTTATATTCTTCTCTGCCTCATTAACTCCATTGGTATGTTACTAATTTCAAAGAAGCAGGCAGAGGTGATGGGGGTGGAGGGTTAAATAATAATTCACACGCCTGTCTGTTTCCCATCTTAAGTGCAGAAAGAAACCACACTGATTGCCAGACCGTGGGTCAAGTCATACCTTGGTTTGGAGATAATGAGGATAGTAGTAAGTGTACTGGGGGTACATTTGTGGCTGATCCAAGCGTTTGCCCATGTAGCTGGAATCTTTATCTCCGAGGCAGGGAACGGGATGACAGGGTATAGCGCCCCAGGCCGAGCTTCCTCTCAAACCACTATTCCTGACAGTCCCGATGACTGATGAGGCTTCAGAGATCCCTTGTCTTCCACCACTCGCTAGTTCCAACACAGCAAGAATTTAAAAAAGAAACACACCAGGGGGAAAAAAAGGGGGGAGGGGGGATCGGTAGGGGGAAAAAAAGCCCCACACACAGCCACCCCAGCTCTTGCCTGCCTTCCCTCAGCTGCCGGGGTCCACTTGGGATGAGGCAGTTAGTTCTCTAACCAGGTTGTCTGTAAGTGATGTCAATTGCCAGCGTTTGTAAAGGAAGAAAAGAAAAAAAAAAAAAAATCAAAGTCCTTTCAGCACAACTCCGAATCTTTGCAGATCAGCTTCCTGTCTCCTGCTTGTCTCTTTCCCCACCTTAAAGAAAAGGAGAAAACAAAGAAAGAAAGAGAAAGAAAGAAAGAAGAAAATAAAATAAAAGGGAAAAGAAAAGAAAGAAAAAGAAAGGGGGAAAAGAAAAAGAAAAAGAAAAAAAAAAAAAAAAACCTTGCACAGCTTAGTTGCTGCTGTCTCCCTCCCAGAGTGACATGGTGTTCGGTGCTTGTCCTGTCCTTTCATTCACTTCCCCTCCTTCCAGCCGGTGGGTGGAACCGAGAGAGCCTCTCCAGGGAGCAGCGTACGCAGTCGAGAAAGCTGCAGTATTTCCTCCAAGAAAAAAAAAAAAAAAAAAAAAAAAAAAAGCTGCTTCAACCCCTGCTGCAAGCAAAGTTCCGATTCCCTCTGCTGGCTATCTCGAATAGCAAAGCGATTTTTGCAGTGAAGCTGCTGTCGCCAGAACTGAACCCGGGGAACTCAAATGCAGGCAGTGGATTATTTTTTATCCTTCCCTCCATTTACCCCACACAAGCGCTTCGTTCTTTTCTTTTCTTGCCAAGTTTCAAGGTAAGCCACAGTGCTAAACAAAACACCGAAGATCATGGGAGGGCAGAGAGGAAAAAGGGAGGGCGGAAGGGAAAGAAAAGAGAAAAAAGGCAAAGGGACTAACCTTGCTGGCTAAAATAGTAAAAGTGTGTCCCAGATGCTCCCCAAACCTATTAACACACTAAAGCCACATGAATCCCAGACCTGGGTTAGACACTAACCTTTTGCTTCTTGGAAGACATGGAGGATACGACGTATTAAAGGCATCTTTGACTCTACTCCCTAACTACCAACCACGCATGGTCTAATCACTATGACCAACTTATTCTGGCACAAATAATCATTCTCATCATTTCTACCCATTTTGTAAAAATCAAAAGACGTATGTCCTTAGGTTTGTTCTGAATAGATTCTTTCTCAATAAATCTCTGCCTCTCATAGTCTAGCTCTTGATGATCATTTGGATTCATGGATGCTTTAATCACTTTATCGATCGTCACACACACACACACACACACAGGCGCGTGCGCACACACAAAGAACAAAAATCTTAATTACTTGGCAGACTTTTTCCTCCATCAATAATAACAAATATTCTGACATGTCTATCAGCTGCTACATTATAATACAAATCATTTTAGAGAAAATATATTTCTTTAAAGGGTCCCTTTTCAAGGCGGGCAGTGCTAAAATTAGATGTGCCAGCTGTGTTTTGCTGGGGAGTGCTCACGCATGCCCAAAGCGTGGGCAGGACAATATTGAGAGCCACTCGACTTAGTCAAGTCGGCTCTGTTCCGTCAAGCCCCACAGTCACCTATTCAGATCAAAGCTTCCTGGCTCAAATCTAGGGTCCTAGCCCAGAAGAGCAGAAACTTGAGCCCAGTGTGCAATATGTTGTCCCTCCTGCTATGAACCCCACTACCCTGAGGCAACTGGCTGTGGCTCAGGGGTCTGGCTTCTGGAAGCTGTATGAGTGCATGTGTGTTTCTTGGAAACAGATAAGGGCAGTAGATAAACAGTTTTATGTTTGGATTTTGACAAGAGCAACAATTAGAAGGAAGGAAGGAAAGAGGGTGAAGGGTTAGCATTAGGAGGCCTGAAAGCACTGCAATTAAGAAAATTAAATCAACTCCTATGAGGCTGAAATGTGTGGTTCTGGGCCTCAGTTGTCCCGTCTAGAAAATAAAAATATTGTGAGTGGCCGGAAGTGCTTCACCGAATCAGACACTGAATAAAAGTTGCATCCATCTAAAAATCCTTCCATAGAATCTCAGAGCTCAGATGATAAAGCCTTGATTCTTGAAATAGTTTTCAAAAACCCAGCTTCCTTCCCGAGACTCAGAGGGTTAACTGTCCCTTATACTTTCAATCTGAGCCAATCAGAGCAGCTTTTAGAACTGGAATGTACTCTCATGGCACACTTCTCTCCATCTGGAACGCTCCTGCCCCACCTCCTCTGCCTCTGGCCCTTCTGCCCAGTCTCCAGGTCTCAGCATCAAGAATGTGGGGTTGGGGGTGGGGGTGGAGGGAGGCTTCTCCTAACCCTAGCCTTCCTGGTGAACCATCTTAGCTCTGGTAAAATGCTTCTCCTACCATAAGTGCTGTTTAATTGTGTCTTTCTTGGGCTCCCTCATGTACCTTCATAGGTGTAAAAACTGTCATGGAGTGTGGTGCGAAATGGGGCTCCATTAACGTGTGAAGAGTAAGACATCTTAAACATAACAAACAATTCCAGCCTGACACATGTCCTTGTGGTACTTTTCATAGAGCTTAGACATAGAGTGATGCATAGATAAGAACACGGGTTTTCCAGTCATAGGGATTCTACTTTAAATAGGGTAATCAAGAAAGGCTCTGGCATGAAAAGGTCTGGGGTGACCCCTGTGCTGGGTGCTATGTATTGTGGGATTGCTCAGTGTGTGAGCCTGGACTTCCATCCAATTTCTTTGGGGAGGCCTGCCTGTGCTCCTAACTGCCTCCATTGCTTCATCAGTCAATGGTCACCACCAGCTTCAAGCCACTGTTATGCAAATTCACCAAGATAAACATGTAAATGTTAATAAACCTGAAGGCCTTGCACCTACTCAGAAACTATTAGACTGCATTCAAGGGAAAAGCATCCCTGGCTAAAGGAATAGCAAGTTCAGAAAGTTGAGCAGCAAGAATGTCTTTGGAATGCATCAGAAATGGTGCATGGGAGGAATGGAAAAGGGGGAGTAAAACAATGAAATGTGACTGGAGAAGAACCCAGGGGCCAGGTCACATGAGGCTGACTAAGAATTTGGTCTGGAAAGCTATATTTGTGACAGCTATTTTCACAGGACAAATTCAATCCAAATAGTCTATCTCTAGAGCTAGCGATCTTAAATTATAGAATGCTCTCTTGCTCAATAACCACTTGGGATTCTTCCACATTTTAAACCAGTAAGATCTAAATCCTAGATGATGTCTGCCAATTTGGTCTCCATGGACAAAGGACATCAGTTTTTTGTTGTTGTTTTTTTTTTTTTTTTTTTTTAATACTGGTCTAGATACTTCTTCAAGAGAAAGGAATACTGTTTTATTTACAAATGAAAGGTCAAATAAATAACTCCTCAGCCCACACTGTAGCCCACTTATATGTAAGATTCCCAGCATGTGTTGATGCTATCAGCAATTTCTACGCAAATTGCTACTCTCCAAAATGCTATTCTATTTCAGTTGATTATTGTTATGTTCTGGCATCAATTGTCATTAGCCTAAGAACATTCATTGAACATTTAAAGCTTTTCTTAAATAATTCAAAGACAGTTTACCACTCGTAAGAATTGCAAACCCAGTGTTTTATTTATTTATTTATTTTCCCCCACAGAGATACCAGTAGCCATGGCAATTCAGGAGGCGATACTCATATCAGAAATATTTTTTATATAATTTCTACTCTGTTGGAGCAGTAGCATTTTCCATTTAAATGATCAAGTTAAGGTAGGAGGAAACTAGTTTACGGCACTCACTAAATCTGAAGCCAGCTGCATCCCACTTGCAACTAACCAACACATTTTGTACAACTTCAAGAGCAGCAAACTGCTCAAAAGGTGTGACTTCTGGAGAGGCAGGTGATTCATGGCACAAATTGGAGAGATGGGTCTCCAAATTCTAACCACTCCTCCGAGACAAGTTCTAGACTACGTTTTAACACAGACCATTCAGAGGTGGAGAGATGATGCTTTGAAATAAGAGTCTACTAGCTTTGAATATTTCCCCTTCATCTACCCAATCAAAGGGTAGCTTGACTCATTCTTTGGGAGAATTATTTTCTTTAATTGCAAAGAGTTAGCCAAACGCAAAAGGAAAGAATGGTAGCACTAAAGGAAAAACCACTAATTGTTCTATCATTGAAAGCAAGTATGTTATTCTCTCTGCAGGAAAGATACTCATGACCTTGAGTTATTTTTTTTTTTAAATCTTGGCATTTCCTGCCCACTGGGTTAATATTTGCAAAATCCCTTTCCAACACAGTCATTTTCAAAGACATATTAAATATGACAGGTGATTTTAAAAACAAGCAAGGTGGTCGATTTCATATCCCAACATTAAAGTACTACTACAACTTCCTTTACTCCTCCTAGATAATTAACCAATGATTTAAGAAAATACATGATATAAACTAGGTAAAAGAGACTACTATTGATTCAACTTAGCATGCATATTCCAAATTTAAACTATAATTGAATGTAAAAATATTAATATAGATAAAGATAGTAAAAATTTCAAGTCTGAATTATACTTCAAGATTGTTAATGAAATAAAAAAGCAAGAATTATTTAATATGATGAATATGATTACCTTTGATAAAATTCTACTGAGCATCTACTACATCCTTAAACAATCACAATGACAATTTATTATCACCTTTGTCCTCAATATATTAACAATGTAATATAGATCAGTAAATGACTTTAATATTTCTCCTCATATCTGCACACCAATTTTTAACATTAGTCATGATTTTCTTTAAATTGACTCAATTTTTCTCAATTGTTATAATTCTAAGCAAGAATATAATTAAAGCTCATGTAATTTTTGCTTCTGTTCCTTAAACAAAAAAAAAAAAAACACGTTCCTTAAACAACAACAACAAAAAAACATGTTATCCTCTTAGTATTTGTATATATTTCCCTTTTTTAAGATTTATTTATTTATGCATACAAGAACTGGGGTGTAGGCCAGAGGTGTGTGGGGAGGGGTGAGAAGATTCCCTAGAGACAGAGTAGGGAGCAGAACAGATGGATCCACTGAAATACACTGCTGAGGGGAGTAGTGGATAAGTCAGGAGATGTCTGCTGTGCCATGTGGGCCCCCCCCCCCACATGGGGGATGAAACTTGTGCTGCAATGGCTGTGGATAGCTTTGTAGTGATGCACTTTAACCCTTGCATCACCAGGGAGGGCCCATGTGAGCATGTTTCTTATAATCAATCTTTCTCTGTATATCTTACTAGTTGTGCTTCTTTGGCACAACACTGGTTCATATAATAGATTAGTAAGATGAAATATGGCAGCAATGAAAGTCAGTGGTAAAAGCCCACATG